CATCCCATGAAGCTCCCACTCACGACATGAGGATAAGTCCAGCAAACAGGTTCTTATCACTGAGCCTGGTGGGTGCTGGTGCTTGGCTTCCCCTCAGAGCAGAGCCGCCCCCAGACCTGGCGCAGACACATCCAAACACCACTGACTCCAAAAGATTTGTTTTCCCTGGCTAAACCTGCACACCAAGCACCAGCTGCTGGAGAGTTCAGGATGTCATCTTGAAGGCTGTCAGTCCTTCCTCCTTCTTGTGCTCTCTTTCCTAAAGATAACTCTGACTGCACTTGTATTCCCAKCCATCAGTGATCTCAGGAGAGCTCAAGCAGCAGCAACTGGATACTATACAAAAAAAAAAAGTCAGTGGGAGTGCAAGATGCTCCACTTTGCTTGTGWGTTCAAGCTTTGTTTGCTTATTTTCTTAAATGAAGCCCAAAGGAACCCCAGACTGATAGTTTGTGTTGTCTAGAGGAACATTAACCTTTCCTGTGGGCTGTGACAGCTCTCTCTGCTGCTCCTTCCTCCTCACACCTTTTCCCTGGTGCCATATGGATCCTCTCCATGGGCTGCAGYTCCTGTCAGGACCTGCTGCAGCTCAGGCTCCTCTCCTCAGGTCACAATGTTCTTCAGTGAACAACCACTGGCCCCACCATGGTCTCCCCACAGGCTGGAGGGCAACCTCTGCTCCAGCATCTGCAGTTCCTCATGCTCCTGCTCTGGGTGTTCACATGGATTTTTGCCCCACTTTTTTTTTCTATTATGCAGCTTTTTCCCCTTATTTTGAACACGTTTTCACAGGGGCATCCCCAGCTCTCCTGACAGGCTCTGCTGGGCCCTGTGGTGAGGGCTGGGACCATCTGTGCCCAGCATGGGGCAGCTCCAGGTCTCAGCCCCACTGCCAGCTGCACCCACACATTGTCCTTTCAGAGGGAAGCCTCTCTCAGATCATGGACTTTAAGGCTAGAAGGAATCCCAGGAGAAGGCAAACAGACTTTCAAATGACTTGATTAAAAAAAAAAAAGCTCAGGTTGTACAAAGCCTGACTTAAACCAGACTAAAACCAAAATATGCCAGGTAGGCTGTGCCCAAAAGAAGCATCATCACAGAAACAGGCTGAGTTTAAAAATAAAAGAATTCAAATACATCAGTTTTTCCTGCTAAGAATGGAATTCCACCATGGCAGCAGCAACAACGTTGTGCCTTTCTCACCCAGCCAACAAGGAAACCAAACCCCAGAGACTCGGCGTGTCCAGCACCACATCCAAGGGTCCATCAGTCCATCTGCATGTGCCAAGTGAGGTGGCTGGGATAACTGGTACCAGGGGATGAGGAATGGGATTTCCCATGCAGATGTGCTCAAGATTTCCTGCTGCACAGACAGACTGACTCACAGACACCTCCCTGCCCACTCCCAACACCCTGGGCCACCCTTCCTCAAGCCTGCAACTGCATCACGCCCTTCAGGCTGCTGTGACTGCTTCCAGCASGGGAAAAGTAAAAATATTTGGGGTGGTTTAGAACCTTTTAATAAAATTAGGCAGCTGGGAAAGAAGCATGAAACCCTGCAATGGAACCAAATACAAAAGTTACTGGTTCAGGACACCACCACGAATCATCAAAAGTAGAGASTGAGCTCTGAAAACTGGAGATATGGTAACGAACCATGCAAAACAGACAGAAAAAAATGGAAGGGGCAGTGCAGCAGCAGAAGAAGAAAAATAAAACCTGTCTCTGGCATCTCCCTCCTTCATCTGCATTTCTCTGACAGAGCTCTACTGTACAGAATGCCCTAAAGAAAACAGGAAAGCTTGAAGGCTGGACCATCCTCCTCTGTTTGCATTTCTCCTGCTTTTCTTTCTCCTTACAGCTCTGTCATGGAAGGGGCAGAACAAATGCAGTTTTGGCATAAGCTGTCCAGGCCTGCCCCAGCACGCATAAAGCAAACACAGACATAAGGAATTGGGCTGAGAGAGGAACTAAACTACATCATTTTAATTTTTTTTTTTTTAATTCTCAAGAGCTTCCTCTGCAGGTGGACGGTGGGAGGGAGACGTGTGTGTTTCAGATGTTTTGGACTTCAGAACAGCAACCCTGAGGGTAAATTGACTTTTTTTTTTTTTCTTTTTTCTTCCCTAAGCATTGCACTCAAGCAGGAGCCTTCCCATTGCCTTGGCTGCTGGAYGAGGTTTGGACAGCAGAAGCCTTAGTCAGGTTACTGAGGTTGTCTTTCTCTTGTTTTGAAAAGTGCTATAGGATTTCTAACACCCACCTAAAGCCAAGCTTTCAAATTACTCCTTTAAACATTATGAAAAAGAACATATTCATAGCTCTTTATAAGATACAGTTGACATAACTCTTTCTCCTGGGGCTCCTGGAGCGAAAAGAGAAATCTGTAGACAGTGATCAAACTCTCAGATCCTTTTCCCTTATGTTCCCTTATGTCCCTGTTCCTCACATGAAAATTCCACACCAGGGTAAGGGAGCTGATTATCAGTGGCAGCTCTGGAGCCTTTAAGTGCCAGCCCCCAAGAGCACAGAGATATAAATCCATCAATGCAAGCACGATAAAAACGATTTTATCTGCTTTTTTTAACATTCAAAAAAACCCTCACGGGAAATCCAAAATGAAAAACAATCTGTGGAGCGTAAAATCAGGCTCCAGAGAGTAAAACAGTATCATTCCTAAAGAACAACATAAGAATTTTCCCTCTTAATGACATCCAAAAGATCACTAACTTCAAGTTCCTGCTTGCTGCTGCAAAGAGCTTCCACAGTAATCGCACGGCTTAGCAACAGCTGCAGGAGAACTAACACACAAGGCAGAAACTCMCCCTCCATGCTGCACTCTCTGACAAAAAGGAAAGCTCCAAACCAAGCCACAGTTGTAATTCATTCCAAAATCCAAAAAAAAAATGCACTTAGGGGACAAAAAAGAAGCCCAAACWAACCCAACKMCTTTTTTTTTTTAGATTTCTGAACSCATAGAAMGCAGCTGTAAAATGGCTACGCTGTGGTCTTGGAAATTCAGAAATTCAGACATCTCTGTCCCTAACGCTCAGAGGGTCAGTCTGGGTGGGATTTGGTTTGCAAAGTCAGCTCTGCACAAYTGCCAAGAGCCAACATTCACAATCCACTGCTCAGGCACCGACTGAAACCAGTCCCTCCTCATCCTTTAACAACACAACAGCCATGGACAGCACTGTCCAAAGGGTCTCATCCTCATTTAGCTTGTGCTCCAGAACCATTTGAATCAGTTCTCTCCAGAAAGCTGAAAATCGAAACCACGAACACAGCAGATTCTAGAGTTCCTAAAATCAACTTTTCCCTTTACTGGCCACTTCTTCCAGATGAAAACACAAAAGCAAACAAAAGCATAAAACTCCTGCAAGAAAGAACAGACCATCCATCCAAACAGCAAATGCAAAGAGAAATTATAGTTTCCAGATTAACAGAATGGGTGAGCAAAAAAAAAATAGTTTTTAAGCTTGTTATACCACAAAGGCACTTGGGTTTGGAATCTAGAGGAAGTTCTAAACACTGGTGACTACAAAAGAAGGGCATGAACTGGAGATGCTCTCAARACAAAGGTGAGGCAAGAACTGGAATGCAAACATTGCAACAAGCTCAACAATGAGGGAGTTTAACTTAGAAAAATAGATCAGCACCTATATTTAAGTAGCTGATTTTGCATTTCTGCAGTTCTGCTGGTATCTCTCCCTGTCCATGTTCGTCCATTCCTCTCACTGCCTTGCAAAGGCTGTGTATGGTGRCATTTGGCAACAACTTTATCAGCTGCTTGGAAAATCGCGCTGAATCAAACACCTTGCCAGAAAACAAGAAAAGATTTCTTTTTAGCRGTGGTGACTTAAAAAAAGCCARCTCAAATCCCTGGAGCCGTGCTTGYTCCTGCTCATGCATTACAGAGTACCTTGGAGGGAAATTCTTCCATGATCTTGGAAAAATCTGTCTTCAAATATTAGTTTAGTAAATGGAAGAGCCTGCACCTCTACAGTGGCATTCACAAAATCCAAGAAGTTTTAATGTGAGTCTCTCCTCTGTTCAGGGGGATGGAACTCCAGAATACCATTAAAAACATAGCATTWGCTACATGAAGTACTACCTGTTATTTCTGGGTTCCAAAATGGGTTTGCTGTGCTTTTAGCTGTTATTCTAGAGGAGGGTGGTGGGTTTTTTTCCTCTAAGATTCTCATTTACCAAGGGAGCAATAAACCCSTATTTTGTAATGCTGAYTTTTTTCCCCTTCAGAAATTCTTGTAACGTAAATAGATATTAAATACTTTAAGGCAGATCACTTTATTTAAAATGTCTATAAATATAAAATGCATTAATAAGACCTCTTAATGCTTGTTTTGTGGTTTGACAGTAAACGTAATGGCTTACAGAGAGGAGTTAAGTTAATATACCCCTGACCAGTAATGTTCTATTTGCTTAAATGCAAGCGTCCAAGCCAAAATTAACATTCTGGTTTCTTTTAGAGGCAGCCTGCCATCCTGCAGGATAGCTGAATAAGCACTGCCTAAAATCATGGGGCAAATCCTGTCCCCCAGCTAACAGCCACCCAAGGCTGACAGGAAACAAACATCTCAAGCAGTCAAGAGCTCRTCTAAGGCCTACCCAAACCATATGATTTAAATGAAAATAAAGTTTTTCTGAATTATTCTTCAGCTTCTTTTCCTGGCATGCAGGTCAGCTTTCATTACACAAATGTAACATTGAAATACCCCTTSATTCCCCTGAATTTCACCACAGAATAAAGGATTTATGCAATGATGCCATCTATGTGTTTGCCTATTATTATTCCTCACTATCTTTTGGTCTTGCCAGTCACTCACAAGCAGTTTCCTTCAGAGGTCTGAAAAATGTTCCTAGGAGCGTGGGAATGTAGGTGGYCAGGGGAGAGACTCTTCCATTGCCCCTCTGAAGGCTGAAGAGCTGAAATATGAAYTCAAATCCTATCAGACATGAGAAAATCTCACACGAGTGAGCCCCCAGGAGCAATGACTTAACAGTGGGAAGCATTTCAGCTGGGCTTTGCACCTGAGGAGATGTCACATGAAYGTGTTCCTCATCCAAGAGTCCTCTTCCATGTGCTCTCTCCAGTGTCCAATAAAGGGGTGAGCTCACACTACAGCATCAGAACCAAGCTTAAAAGCCCATCAGCCTAATCCATTGGAAACTGAGCTTCAATATTTGTTTAATAAATGGATTTAGAGAACCCAACCCAGCTACCAGCACCTCCCCACACGTTCATTCACACCTGGCAAGCTGATGYTGCTGGGATGTTCGGCCATACCTCAGCCTGGACAGACAACAGGATTCAAAGATCCACAAACATTTTTTGTTTAAGACTTGGTCCATCAATGTGTTCATCCCTAACAATCTTCACGGGCTGAAAAAGCCACACAAGATAGAGATCCCCAATGGCTACACTGAAATAATGGATCCATTGGCATGAGGATCATCAAACGCAGTGATGCACTGAGCCACAGTGGAGCCCCACAAGGAGACAACTGTCRGAGCACACTGGAAGGCAAGTTAAAAGGTAGAGGAAGAGACACAGAAAAGCAGCTCATTAATGGAAAAGACTAATCAAACTCCCTACTCAATCAGCAAAGCGTCTCCCTCCAGGAGGGCTCCCTCACACCAGTGTATGGTGAAGGAGCACAAGACGTCTGAAAAAGTTGCTGTTCCATGGCTGGCTCATGCTGAGCATCCATCTCTTCACTGGGAAGCATGACCAGGCAATTACTGCTCAGAGCTGTTGTTTTCTCCCAAACCAATTTCCTGCTCATGAACACCAACAGAGGTACAGTGCAGAGAATGAGCTGTTCCTGGGCATTACAATAGAACGGGTAAAGGAATATGAGCTTCCTCCAAGATTTCCTTGTGTAAATGCCTCTGGAAGGACCCCTGCAGCCTCTGAGCAGAGTTTTCCATGCCCACATCCAATTTAGCYATTGCCTCCTTACTGGCACTGCCAACAGCTGAGTGAGCATTCCATGTGGGAGGCTCTGTGTTCCCTCATCAGCTGAGACAGAAAGCCCCACTGCAAGGACAGCTCACAAATGAACACACACACTTCACAGGACCCTGCAATCTCCAAAGGTTCCCCYCACTCCTGACACATTCCCTGCAGGATTTCCAACTCCATCAACTACTCATAGGTTTGATCAGCATGACCCCTTCGTGCAGCCCCAGAGGTGCTGGGGTGAAACGAGTGGGTTCAGCTGGAACTGGGTGATAAGTTTGCCACGTTTTCTACATCAACAAAAGCAGCCATTTTCATTGTGTAAAAATAAGAGATAAAAAGAATTTTTTATTTAAAGACAGATTTTCTGYTGGAAATCAATATGACTGCAGTGTCAACTGCCTATTAAGAATGACCCATATCTCAGGTGTGCCATGGAAATCTTTAGGAACTCAAGAAACATCATGTCAGACAAGACCATCTATCCACTGTGGATTACCCTCCTCCAAGGTAAACCACAGCAGCACCAAAAATCTGGTAGAAAGCACCACTCCTGAACAATTATTTCCCCTAAGCGAAAACTTGCAATTTCAGCTTTTAAAAAGGGGTACACACACATGAAAGGAATCACACAAATGCAGAAGAGGCACGTAACACAARAAAACCAAAACCTTTCCTCATACCTGAAGGTCCAAAGAGTTCCCCATTTCCGGAGTCAGATAAGCAAACTTCAGCCTACCTGGGCATAACCTGTTTCCTCTTGCTGCTTCTTTTGAGAGTGAATGCCCACTTACCATATTCATAACTGTGAGGATGAACCTCTGGGCAGCCTCTGCTCCGTGGTACTGGACCATGTCAGCATCTGCCACCACCAGCGTCTCCACCGTGTACTCGTTGGTGAGGCGAATCGCGTTCCTCCTCTCCCGCCACTCACTGGTGGACTTGAGTTTCTTTTGTCTCTTCTTTTCTGAAAAGCCAGAATACCTTTTAAGGCTGGCAGATCAAAATAAAACACTCTCATGTTCTTCAACAAACATTCTTGTGCACGCTCAAGTTGTAACARCCTTTAATTAAAGTGTTCTTGGTTAGAAGAGGCCACCGAGAGCTTCCACTGCAGGTACAGCTGTGCCTCTGGGTGCAGAGACCAGGAGGTGATGTGCAAAGAGGGAAAAGAATAGGAAAAATTTTTTAAAAAAGCAAAATATTAATTAATTCAAACCAAGAGGTCATGCTCTTGCAAAAAAAATTGGAAATACTGCAAAAAAAAATTGGAAATACTGCAAAATATTAACTAACTCAAACCAAGAGGTCATGCTCTTGCAAAAAAAATTGGAAATACCGCTTGTGAAAGGAATAACATTTCAGCATAATGGAAGAAGAGCTAATTAAGGAAAAGTCTGTTGAAGAAAACTTTGGGATGGGAAAYGATGCTTTGGGATGCAATGTGCACTCCAGACTCTGCAGGTGGGATATTCCTGAGGTCAATATTTCCATCAGCTGCATTTTGCCTTGCTACCAGCATCACCAGAGCAATGCAACAGAACATAAAATAGTCTCAAAATCTTCAAATGAAGTCAGATTGTTTTGGAACACTCGTTACTGGCCAACTGCAGAAGTCTCTGGCTGAAGCCCAGAAAGGCAGAAGGTCAGGCCAGATAAGACCTTCTCAGGCTTTCTCTGCTCATTTATTGCTGTTGGCTGAGCAGCAGCACCAGCAGCTGGTGGCCACCTACGAGCAGAGCTCACGAGCCTCTTCCCTAGGGTTGTGACCCAAACCCAGGGGACTCCCTGCACCAGCTGATTCATGAACTTCAGTAACAAGGACCTGTAGCAAGAGCCCATTTTACAGACTAAAAAGTGAAGCAGTGGTCCAGCTAAAATTAATACCAAAAAATTAAACCATAGAAGTTAAACGGCCCTTCCTCCCAAGTAAAGGACTGATGTGTTAATAATTTGTCTTCTTCTAAGCTGAAAGGTGAAATGTGTTTCACAGGCAGATGTGCAAAGCAGCTGAGGCACRACTAAAGGAGAAATCAAGTTCAGATAAGAAACTGAACCTGCTCGCTTCACTGCAGCCACAAAAAAAAATGTGTTCATGCTTTCAATTGTAAAATGAAAGAGAAGYAAATGAAGTTTTTAGAATTTATTTTTGCAGTAAACTGCCTAGATCCACTGAAATTATCTCTGCCTACTGTTCAGCCTATGGAACACTGAGGGTAAGATATTCACACTGCTGTTAATGCTGATTTGCTTTCCTGTGGAAAAGGGAACAGGACACACAAGTCCTGAAACAGCACAAACATAACATTCAGCACAAAACTGACACAGGACAGACCCTAATGGATGCTCAGACAGGTCCCTGTTRTGTCACACAGCATGTGCTGCTCATTTCCCAGAGCAGAGAATCACTTTTTAATTTTCTCTAGWCTTAACCTGAGACCCTCTCTGAGCAAAGCAGCAGCCAGGGCTGAGCTGTGTTCACTGATCCTGATTTTCCACAGCCTGTTTACCAGCTCCCTGACATCATTCAGATTGAATTTCCCTTCTTTCCCAGAGCATCACTTTCCCATGACTGACCCTCCTACATTCAGGGTGACAAATTCCATCAGCTCCAAGCCCCCCAAAGCCCACCTGAAGCAGACTCCCTGCCTTCACCCATTCATGCATTTTCTGCCTTGTCAATATTAACATTTCCACACATCCATCCCATCCCCTTATTCCCAGCTTTCTCGCAGTCATCCAGCACAGCTCTGCACGTGCTTTTCTGCCCAAGGCACCAACTGTCAACACTAGGTACATATTTTAAACTGAGAAAACAACCATGAAATTTGATTTGATTTTTTTTTTCCCAAGAGAGTTTGGAAATATCCCCCTGGGTCTAAAGAGACAGACAGGAGTCTATGGACAAGAAAAAAAAAGAAAATGTGGGGTGATCATAAATAATGGAAGCTACATGCCAGCAGCAAAGATGAAAATAAGCAAGTTTCAAGGCCTGCTTTGACATGGGCTGCAGGACAGATACAGGAAAGTGCACAATCATGACAAAACTGCCCCAGAGCAGGGGATCTCTATAATAAAAATAAATAAAATTGAAAAGATTGACTATGCAAGAAAGACRAAAAGCTGGGGGCACCTTTGCCAACTGTGAGATGGAGATGATTTCACCAAATTTCTGTGAACAGCTCACATGTGTGTATGTTATTCTATTCATTTCATTCCATTCATCACCCATCTCTCCCTCTGTCCAGCAACCTCTTCTTTAGCTACAGGACCTCAAGGTTATCATTTAAATACCAGGGAGAAATCAAAGAAAAAAGAAGAGAAAATGAATTATTTCAGCAAGAACATTGACATTTTGTGTCTTGTTGCTGCTATTCAGAACTTTCCTGGAAACCGCAGCACTTCCCCAGCAAATTCTTATTTTGGCAATCCCTTAATAAATGTTTTCAGATTGTATAGATCTCCTACCTACTCAGAAGTTGCTCTTATGGGGGACTAAGCCTGGATGCAACTAAGKCTGGGCCTTGCATTGAATGAGGTAAAAGGGTTTAAGTGGAATAAAAAAAWTGGAGTTCTCTAGGTTTTCACTTAAAAATCTCCTTTTTTGTGGAAAAGAAGACACTTGTGTCAGAGGAGGAACCTCCTCTGCYAGACTGGAGCTTGCACTCCAGGGAGAAGAGGTCATGCCATGGTCATTTGCCAGTGTGGTCCCTCCTCCAGATGAAGGAATTGGCCCCTCCTTGCAGCTGAACAAAACTCTGCAAGGTGTGACTTTTGGAGAGCAGCAGCCTAAAGGGACTCCTGGCAAGTGGCTGGGCAGTCTTGGTTCACACACAGCCTCTGGCCCCCATTCCTCCTGTGGACTGGCTGCTTTCCACCAAGCCWTGGGATCAGGGGATGTGTGTGGAAAACCACCACCCCACAGGCTGCTGGAAATGCAGCCAGAGCGACCTGATGGGGAGAACTCGGGCTCTTGCTCTTATCCTCACCCTCACACCGACCAAATGCAAATTTACCTGCACTTAAAACAGGAACAGGACTCGAGGGAGCCCACCCAGAGCTCAGGAGGTCACTGCTGAACCCTCCAAAACAGGCACAGCAACACCAGCTACTTAAAAAAGGAGAGGGAGTGTGGGTGTCCCTTTTCCTTTTCAAGTTTGTAGCTCCTTCATTCGGTAAATTATTCCATCCTTTCTGCCCACTTTCACAGTGGTCTCTCTCTGCATCATCCTGCCGACCAAAATGCAAACAATTTTTCAGCATAACCAAGCACAGGGAGAAAACGAGGCCTTTGCATGGACAGACCATCACAAAGGGAAAGGAAATCCACATAGCCTGTGTCACAGATGTTTGACGAAGAAAAAGATCCAAAAACAACAGGAAAAATCCTCATTAAGTGCATTTGCAGCTCATACCTGAAGTGAGTCAATTTTATGGAGGTATCCAAAAAATAAAAATACCCCATCTCTAGAGCCTGACTTCAGAAACAAGCCAGCACAGAGGAGTCTTGCTCCTGCCCTGCAAGATTTATGGACCATGGGCAGAGAATCCCTCCATGAGTACATGAAACCCCAAACTAAAATAAACATCAGCCATTAAAACAAGGATTAAATGCTYGGTGGATTCTTTATTTGAACAAACTGATGTTACAAATTTTGTGGTGCAGATGTTAAGTGTTAGTGTGAAGGCATAAGAGGCCATAAAGCACGGGCAGGAGCTGTCAGAGGAGTTTACATTGCAGGGAGCACACAGCACATGGTTTTAGGAGTCAGGTGTTCCCTGCTTAAGGGGTCAGAGAATTTCATATGAAATATGAGCTAAAACAGTCAATCTACATTGATTGCTATGCTGCAGGTGACAGGGCACCAGGGACATTCCTCTTTGGCCAGTCACTCTGACAGTGTGTTACACAGTCTATCTGGCCCAAAAAATCCACAACATTCAGGACTGTGAGAAGGTGAAACACACCCAGATCCTCAGCACAAAATGGCTGTGACACTGCACAAACTCATGAGGTGGCTTTTATTCACCCTGCTCATCACCTGCCAAGCCACAGATCACACCAGGTCCTGCAGTCCCTGAAATCCCCTCAGAATGGAAAGAACCCGAGTCCCCACTGTGATCAGAAGCACAACAAGGCTCTTCTGAGGCCTCTGTAGAAAACTCCTTACATTCAGTGCTTTTTATGGCAACTCAACAGATGTGCAATTCCAGAGCAACCGCCCCAAATGACCTTTTCCTATTACACACCAAAAGCACTGTCTAGCACTGTCTGGCTTTTGGCAGATTCTTGCTGTAAGTGCAGAGTCCTTTCCTGTTCCTCCTGCCTCCCTTCCAACTGTATTTCCCAGACTCATCTGAAAAGAAACCTCTTCTCCTACAGCCTTCCACTATTTTTTCCTGCCTAATCTTTCCCTTTGTAATTTTAGCTACCTCATTCTTGTTAAACCTACTGACAGTTYCTGGATGCTGTTCAACAAAAGCCACAAATAAAAGTTAAACTGCAGAGTCCTTTCTGTAAGGCCAGATTTCTCCTTAGAAACTCTTTTCTATTACTGCCTTAAAARTCCTCTCCAGCTCTTCCTCAGAGAAGCCCTTTGCTCCTTTTCCTCTTCCCATGACCCCTTTAACATCTCTTATACCCTCAGTGGAGGGCGAGCTCTGTTTTRCCATGTCCTGTTACTTCAGCAGCAAAAAAAGGAAGAGAGGGTATCCAAGTGGGACAAACAGCTAAAATTAATTCTGCCTAAGCCCCAGGAGTTTCCAGAGAACCTCTGACTGGTACTCACATTAGGCAGGTTTTATTAGCTTCAYCTAAAAATAAAAATCATCACCTCTCCCAAGCAAAACAGAAAGAAAAGGGAGATCCTGCACACAAAGCAAGCCTAGAAATTAAAGAAAGGAAGTCCTTGAGGTATATGAATACTACTTAACCTAAAACCATATGTCAGTGCTGAATTATCAGAG